CATAGGAGAAGAAATTATCAGCTGTGTTCAACACAGTAACTGAGAGCAAAAAAAAGAAGTCTGGGAACAAGTAAATACTGTGCTAGTAAGTGAGAGACTGTATGGAGCATTTCCCTGGTTGCTGTCCAGAGTATCATTAGTTGAGATTCAACAGAATTGTAGTTTCTTTTCATCTCATATGGGGCATTTTTCCCCTGAGTGTGTAGGAAATATTATGCTCTCTTATATTAAAAATATGGGGGTTGTTTCCCCTTCTTTTCCATCTCCCTAAGATCATTTAGTGAAGTTTTCTTTCTTCCAAAAGATCCCCTCAAAAATTATTAGTAATACCTGTATTTCTAATCTTTAAGTTGTTGTGTTGAGTGGAAAAAATGAACAGCATGCAAGTTAAAGGCTGTGTGGGATAAATGCTATTTAAATCTTATCTAAGCTGTTAAACATCACACTAACATTGGATTGCTGGATCTAATCCAGTAAAAAAAAAAGGTCACATTAGAGAACTAAGCCATCTGTCCAGTGCACAATTGAAAGGAATTACTAATGAATTACTTTTCTATATTACTGTCTTTTGGGGAACCTTTGTGTGAATCAAAGAGATGTTACAAGACTGTTTATCTGCAGAGATGGTTCCTGCATTATTTCTACCTTGTCAAGCTGATGTTTTAGTATGGAACTTCTCATTTAGTGTTTTATATAACTAATTAGTCCCTTACAAACAGTGTTTTCTAACTGGCTTCAGAAGCAGCTTCTGTCTTTTCCAGGCATTGTTACTCCAGCACGGACTGAAGGATTTATGTGTGCACTTATTGGCAAAATGGCAGAGAGATTTTTTTTTTTCTAAGTAATATCTGTTGCTTTATTCTAGGGTTGATTGTTTTGCATGCTCATAACAAGACTTCATTTGGAGTGAAACATTTTGAATTGGTTTTAGTCTTTGTTTGTGTTTATGATAGAGATTGTTGTGTTTTGATTTCTGCAGTATTAATATAGCATGTTTGTAGAAAAAAAAATATTCTACCATATTCAAGTGAAAATAATGATTTATAGTGTTGCCAGCCCTGGAGAGAACCTGATGTCAGGTCTGATCTCACTGGCTGGTTGTGTTGCACATTCAGATATATACCCTTTGAATGATCCTATTACCATTTTTTTTTTTTTTTTTTTTTTAAATAAAGATTTTCTGTCCAAAATATAATTTTAAAACCTCCTTTAAAATTATGAGTCTGTGTCACGAAGGAGAGAAAGAAGAAGAAAAAATGGGAGAGGGAAGTTGGTACAAACCTGCCATTAAGGTTTCTTTAAAAATCCTCCCTCTGACCAGTAAAATTACATTAGCAAAATTGCTTTAGTACTTGATATGATTTAATCATCAGAAGTCCTGTTGGTCGAGTCTGTTGTTCTTTTCTGACCTGGACACACACAGATCTGGATTAGGATGCAGGTATTGATGAGGTCACTCAAAACTTTTTTGAATAGAATGGGGCTAAGGTAGGATGTTGCAATTATCAGATGTTAATGTATTGGCTTTTGAGGCCCAGAAGAATAAGTGAGATAAAATCCTGTCTCTAAGAGTTTAAATGTTGTGCTGTAGTTGAACATGAGTGTTACTGGGTATGATCTTTTGTAGTCATTTGAGGTCTGTATTCAGACCTTTTTGAGCATCCTTTGCATGACAGAGAAGCTATGGAGAGGGAGTTTGTCTAGATGCTATTCATAGGCTCTTTGTAGGTGGAACAAGGCCTGCTCTAGGCCAAGAGAATAAGCTACAACCATATAATTTCAACTTGTAGTTAATTCTGAGAATTCCATGAATTTTTCCTTCTTAAGATATGCCAAATGTTTGTGCAAGTCTATTTCCGTTTACTTTTTCCCACTTTGCTTTATTTTTTCCTGGGTTTGCAAGAGCTCGTTCCCGCCAGCATCTCCTGTAAGTAGGAGCAAACTGAGATTTCCGTAATATAAGTACATTAAAAGTTAGAAATGCTTATTGGCAAGGTAAAATTAGACTTTTCTACATCCTTAAGTGCTACGCTTCTCTGAGGCTGTGTAAGAGGTTCTGTAACATAAATAGGGACTATCCTATTTTTGAACTAAAACTGAATGGACAGAGATGTGTCAGTTGTGACTCTGCCTATTTTGGAACTAAGTTAATGTATTTCAATTCTGCAAAATAAGTTCCAGGCAGCAGCTTTTTCTCTGACCCTCTTTCCAGACAGCCTTGAGAGTGCACTTTATCTTGTCTTCATCATATGTTCTTGAGTTTTCTCTGAAGTCATCACCAGTTACACTTCTACATTACTTTGCTGCATCTGATTTATCATAGCCATCCTTCCACAAGATGTTTTACCAGATGTCCTCTACTGAAGGGCATATCTATAGAAGAGTTTTGCCTTACTTTAGGTTGTTTGTCATTTTATATTTGAGGCCGCCATGTAGTCAAGCTAATTTAGTAATTACATATGTATTATATGCATCTTTGAAGAATCCTTCTGTTCTGACAAGTCCCCAGGAAACCCTGATGTCTACTGGAAAAAAGGCAAAGGGGGCAAAACAACATATACATCAATGATCTTTTATCATACTGGTCTTGGATTTTTCTCTGATATCATCTTGACTGCAAGGAGAAGGAAATGGTTACCTGTGTGGATGGTCCTGGTAGAGCTGTTGAGCCTTGCCAAAGTGGAACAGCTCCTAAAGTGTCAGGGTTTCATTTTTTTCTTTTTTTTTTTTTTTTTTTTTTTTTTTTTTTAAATCACCCCATGACCCATGAAGAGTAGTACAAAATATTAGCAGGCTTCTAAGGCCAAAGTATCTAGTAACTCATCTTTAAGTTCTTTCAGAAGCTGCTTAATACAAAGTAGAAGATTTCTGTTGTGCTCCATGTGGGATTTCACTTAAAGGGAAGAAGACTCTTCATAAGCTCCCTCTGAATTCCCTGTTCTGCCTTATGTTGCTCTGTTAGTAAATGGTGATAATCTGGATTTGAGTCAAGTTTTAAGGCATGTGCTCAAGACAATTCGTACATTTAAAAAATAATCCTATTGAAAAAAAGAGTTGAATTGTTTACTTCCAACCAGCCTGGACCACCTTTTCCAAAGACAGATGTACATGTCTGGGGGGATTTTTCAGAGCAACATGAGCAAATTAAAACACCAAAGTCTGACTGTCATTTATATGATTTAAAATCACTTGACCTTTCCTTCCTCAGTGCATATAGATTGTGTCATTGTCTTGGTTTATGCAGATTCATATTTTGTTTAGTTTTAACTCCTTATTGCACAAAGCTTGGAAAATGAGCAAACTTCAGTGCAATAATCTGCACCATAGTGTGCAAGGCTGTAAAGACACGTTCCTGACCACACACTAACCAAGAAACACCATCTCTCCTTGCCTGTTTCACAGTCATCTCTACTCACACCCAACCGATAGCTCGATTTAGTTGCAGAGCCTGGAGTAACTGCATTTATGGAACAGGATAAACTCTCATGCTGTATAAAAAAAGTATGGGCTCCAGTAATGTTTGAAATGAGTTGGGTGGGTACGGTCGCTGTGTAGCTTACTCATCCTGAAGCGCTGCCTTTGCCTCTCCTCTTTCACCATGCTGAGGAGGTTCTTGGCTTATGGATGTTTTGACTTTGCTTATCAGCAAGCAAGCTGTTAATGAGTCAGTCATGTGAATGGGGAAACTTTTTCTGCACAAGTGAGGATTAAGATTTTTATGCAAAACCGTCGTAACTAATGACATTCTTTTGTAGCTTTTTTGGAAGCAGGCTGGCTTTCCCAGCTGTGTAATGTAGCTTGCTTGAGTTTATTTTTTTTCTGATGATTTTTAATCCCTTGCAAAATAGCTATTGGAGCATAACACCTCATAAGGTTTTGTTGGTTTTTTTTACAACTGGTGTTGAACTGAATAACTTTGAAGAGCTAAAATGCAACGTTGTTCACCTTCATTTCAGCAGGTTAAAGGGAAATAACTAGATTTTTCAGTCTTGCTGTTAATCTGAGTGGGGCAACAGATAATTTATTATTTTTTTTCCAAAATTATTTTTTCAGAGCACATTAGTGGGCTAGTATGGAACCAGTTTTATCAATGACTTCATTCATGGACCTGATCTAGTTGCAGAGTTTGTAGATGGGCGTGATAAGAAGGCAGCAATGCCCCTCCCTTTTTCTGCTTATTTCAGGAGAACTGACAGTGCCACCGGAGGACAGATTAGTGCAGAGATGATAGACTGCCACACAAACTCTGCTAAAGCAAATTCCATTTTAATCTGTGCAGAGAAATGGCTCACAGATGTGAGATGTGCCTGTGGGATGGGGCAATGTGTCCTGGGAAACAAGGTCTCCTTGCTTCCAAAGTTTTCACCGTGAATGGATGTGAGCTCTTAATGTGATACCAGGGAACCAAGACAGCTGCATCCCAGCTCCCTTTGGCCTGCACCAGCAGAGGGATTATATCCAGCAGAAAGGATATTACCTCTGTGTTCAGTCACCCCAGAGAAACTCCTAGAATGTATTAGGCCAGCGAATGAAAGAAATTGGGAAGATTCAGGGGGAAGGGGGAACCTAATAATAGTCTGAAGACTCGATAAAAACCTTCATCTCTTTAGTTCAGCAAAGAGAATAAGGAGATGCCATCCTATGAATTCCTATGCTGGAAGAATAATTTTGATAATTTAGCCTTCAACCTCCTGAGGGAAAAGTATAGAAATACAGTGGCAGGAGTTTGAGGGTGACAGACATAGACTGAAAATTAAGTGAAGGCATGTTTTTAAAGGCAAAGTAATTAATTAAAAAAACTATTTGCATAGGGCTTTGGTTTATTTCCTCTTATTGATAACTCCTTGCATTTCACTTTAATGTATTTTTTTAAGAATATGCAGGTATCAAAGAGAAATTAATTCAGTGTAGTCCCATGAACATTGTCAAACAGGAGTGATAATCCAAGTTTGTGACAAAGAGCATGTGTGCTAATACTGTTGGTTTGGTTCCTTTGGTAGATACGTTGATGATGTGATCAATCGGATTGATAGGATGTTCCCAGAAATGTCTATCCAGCTCTCCCGGCCAAATGGAACTTCAGCAATGCTCCTGGTAAGTTGGATCATTTGATCCCTTGAGATGGATTTCTTAACAGATTGAACTGCTGTTCCAAAAATGCAGTTTATTAATGATATTTTTTAAACATACTGTTCTTCATTCGTCGCAGCAATGTAGGATCTTTCTAACTCTTGGGCAAAAGAGCAATGAAAAGACCTTCCCCTTTAAATGAAAGATCAATTACTTTTTATTGCTAAATGTGATTGTAGAAATATGAATGTAAACTCAAATGGTGGTTTCAGCAGTCTTGGCAATGAGCGAGTCTTAATCATGATAATTAAGAAGGAAAAGAGTGGTGGGAGGAAGAAAAGGAGGAAACCAGTATGATTGAAATTTGTTCATCTTGTTCTTGGGTCAGTGAATTTCTGTTATATGATGAAGTCAAGAATTTGCCTTTGAAGTAAATGAACAGTAAAGGCTCGATTAGAGATAAACAAGTCCAATACATTCGACTTATTTCTGCCTGACCAAGCAAGATTTCATTCCAGAAGAAACTATTGTTCCCATCAATTTTCACAGGCAGCTGTGGTGCTTATAGCAAGACAAGGTTTTGAGTCTGTAGTGTGGCAGGCACTTGGATACTGATTTTTCTTTAACAGGCTGAAAGGCAGAAGTCACATCTCTTGCAAAACTTTACAAAAAAAATAGAAAATATACTGTATGCACAGGTGAAGAACTAAGACCAGTTGTGTCTTTTCCAACTTGGATATCTTTCTCTTACTTCTTCCTTTCCTCAATAGGCTATTACAGAAGGCTTGGGTGTAGTGTACATTTAAGTATATTTCTTACATCCAAGCAAATGGTCAAATGAATCTGAAAATCAGATACTTTGTCAAAACAAAGCTGTTGAATCAATACAAGTCAACACTAGGGTCACTCCTTAGATTTTATATTGTTTGTGGAGTTTGTTGACTTTAAACACTGTTATGGTTAGACTTTTTTTTTTCCTGTGTTATTCAAAGGCTCTGTTAATTTCTCCATAGTAAGTATAGCTGTGATTGTGTTTAGTTTTAATTAATCGACTGTCTAACATCCCATTATTAACTTGCTTTGAACAGCCCCAAATTTGCAAGAGATTAACAGAGTCAGAGGTTAAAATAAACAGCTGGCATTAAAACATTTAATCTGCAATTGTTGTATTCACCGAGTGGAACAATATATTCCAGAAAACAATTGAATTCACCAGTGCAGTCCTAAGAAGCTATAAGTCATAGAAGCTTTTGCACTTCCTCTTAAGCTGACTTTATAAATATAAACTATTTTGCTATAGAAAAATGTCTGGGTTTACTTCCTTGTTTTGAAACCTTTTCCATTCCCTTGGAGCTCTTCTTTGCATATATTAAGTACCTTCCAAATCTAATGGCTCTTTGAGGTCAGAAAATACTTGATGCTTTTCAAAATTCAGGCACAAGTAGGAAATAAGATGGATGTGACTGATAAGTGGTAAGGTAGGGTGGAAGGGTGGTAACTGTAAAAGAAGCCCCTTTTACAAGCAGAAGTCATTTCGTGAGTTCCATGTTGCAGTTGCTCTCTGAATCAAGGACATGGCTGTTGCTACAAGATCTCAGCCCTGTGTTGAACCAATGGTATGCATACTTTCCTTGGATCAGAGATCAAAAAGATTGTTTTTAAAGTATTTTTATGTGATTGTGTGATGGGTTTATTTTTTTTCTTTTAGGCAGGTTTTCCCTCTTTCCCATCTGTCTTAGTTGGTGTTGCCAATATGGCACTTTCCATCTGGCCCTGGCTGCTGCAGAAGCTTTTGCTGTTTGCAGCCACAGATCATTCAGTGAAAGGTGCTGCAGGATGGGCAGTGTGAAGAGCACCTCCCCCAGAAGAAGGGAGGTTTCTTCAGTACTTGTGATTTCTCACAGTGAACTTATTCCAGGTTAGATTTGGAGTTGCTCCCTTGCAGCACTGTGGTTTACCACAATACCAAAGGATTCAGATAATGCTTAGGTTCTTTTAAAATATTTTACAACCTTACTATATTTCCAGAGTTAATTGAGTGTATAATCTCAACCATTTTCATCCTTGGACCGCTGATATCATAGAATCATAGAAATCATACCTGCAGTTGTTTATGAAGGTCTTATATGCAGAGGTCTAGTTGTTATATAAAACATCTTTAAACACAGTCATTCCATTTATGAGAAAAAAAAAAAACATGTATTCATCTTCCAAGGCACTGCTAAGCAGCATACATATTTTTAAGAAAGTGCACATGATTGGGAGGGGATGGGGAAGAAAGAGAAAGGAGTGTCTGTGAGAGTCTTTGAAACTTCAGAATAGGTGGAGACTTTGCCAAATAAATCATTAGGAAAAAAGGCCTAATAAAGTTTCATGTACAGACTCTACAGTCTCATGTGCACATGGAAACCAGTTTGTCTTGAGCTATAAAGGTGGGACTTTCACAGCCCTGAGGTTCATCTGGTGTTTCAAGAAGAATCATTACCAGCCACGTGAGCCTGCTGGATTGACCCCTCTGGCGAGTAGCCTTTGTGTTCAGCTGGGTTCTCCCTCACCAGGGTACAGCTTTCACCTAAGCTGAGGAAGTAAGGCAAAAAGAAAAATAAACTATTCCTGAGAGCATAAATGCTGTGTCTTGAAAGGCTGCTACCTCCTAGTCCTTCGAGGTTACTGCTTCCTCCAGACAATAAGGAGGTTTTTTTATGCTTTAGATTTATACACAGCAATTGTACCTCATTAGGCTGGATTTACGCTACACAGACCAAACACATAAATAATTGAAACCTTTCAGAGCTCTGTGAAATCCTCAGCTGATTTTTAAAGCAGTTTATCATGGCATTTCAAGGTGCTGTTTAATCCCAATCTTCACTAGTGATTTTTCAATTAATCTTTTAATCGCACTATGCGTAAAAAAGACTAAACATAGAATTCTATCAGCTTTAATAACAGTGTTATGCAAAATTAATTTCCAGCAGCAGCAGAGGGAACTGCAGACTCCTTAAGGTTTTTGTGAGGTACTGTTGGTCAAATGCCAGGAATTGTAAATACATCAACCTCATCTTGTATGTTAAGAAAACACAAACTGTTTTTTTTTTCCTTTTTTGAGTGATTAGTTCTGTTCCTAGATACACATGATTTTTTCTGATAAAATAATTTGATAGTGTGATTACTAGATGATTATTTCACATGCCTTGTTTCTGTTACCAAAATCCAGAATGTGGGTTTTTTTTGTGTTTGTTTGTTTGTTTTTAGTTTGAAACAATTCCTGGATACAATTAATTAATTAACATCAGAAATGTTTTGGAAAATGGTAGATGTTAGCCCTGCTTTTCCAGTTGACAGCTATGACCTCCTTAGGGTCATGTACCCACCCAGACCTGGTCAGGTGTAGAAACTTGTTTATTTGTCTTCATCTGGAAACTACTTTGTCTTTAAAATCATTTGTATCCCTGGTGTTTGTAAAGCTCCATAAAAGCAATACTTATAGAAGTTACAAACACCAGGTAAATATTTTTACAGCTACTGGAATAGTTTTCTGTAGTTTGAGCTATTTGGAAGGCGTAATGATCTGTATAACTAACTTCCAGTTTGAAAAACTGAATTGTTTCTGCCAAACCAAAGCTCTTGGCAGAAATAATTTCTTCTTTTCATGTTTTCTTACAAATTTTTGATAAGTTAATTTTATAAATTTATACTGATGTCTAGATTTTTAATGGATCGATCGCTCATAAAAAGCTTTATATTATTTTATGCATTCTCCATAAAATCAGACATATTTATGTTCAAACTTTCAAATCTTGTTCCAAGCATTTTAAACAGGCTGATTGTGTGGAAGTGGGCTGTATTAATTGCAAATAAGCTAGACATCTGTTCACTGAAACTTGAATAATTTCTTGTGTCTCATTTTTGTTTATCAGTGATTTACATAAAATTATTTCTGGTTGGAAAAATGGTTTCTGAAATGTATTATTTGCCCATTAAGAAGGTCCACCAAACTGATTTTTGTTCAAGAGCCCCCAGTGTTGAACTGGGAGTAGGGGGAATGGATTTGCTAAGTGACTTGAAATCAGTATTGATGTAAAACTTGATTAGTTACAATTTAATGCTGTTCTTGTCAAAACAATCCCTTTTCTCCAGCACACTCAGCAGTGTGAGCAGTTCCTCCTTACCCAGCTGGGGCTCATGAGGATGCTAGTGCACAGCAGGCACTGGGTAAGGGCAAGCAGGTTAGTGGGAGGGGTATAGATCTGGTGATCACATTTGGTGGCTTATGCACCTAATTTTAGGCCCATAGGATGAATATGAATGTAGGGGTTTACTCTTTTGGAGACTCTAGCTTGGTTTTGGTGTCTGGTGGAACTGCTGGGATGTTTCAGTATCTCTTGTGTGAGCTGGAACTTGAGAAATTGCTTCTAAGCTCATAGTGGGACTGTTGTGACTGTGGTGGCTTGGCTTTGTCTCTGAAGATTGAGAACCAGCATTTAAAAAGCATTAAGCCATCATTTGAGGTCACATGTACAGAAGAAGAACATCTTGAATCAACAAAGTATGTGAGCAGAGAACGTTAAGTGAATTACAAATTTTTTCCTCTGTTTAAAACAAAAATGAGGAAGATGGGGAAGAGCCTTTTGATGGGAAAGTGAACAAGAGTAGAAGAAGTAGAGAAAGACCTGTAAGATTAATTTCCTCAGCTTTGTTCCTTCCACAGGGTTCTTGTGCCCTAAGTTTGCTGCACAGTCCTAAAGGTCTGTGTTTATATTCCATAGATTTATTTTCTGTGAGATCAGGCACTGTTTTCAACCCTGTAAAATTCCTGGTGTGCTGTAATTCATAATGGAAAAGAGACAGAATCTGTTTCATCATCTGCAGTGATGCTGGACTAGTGTGACCCTTCTGTGACTGGCCACTGGCAAAAATCTGTCTTTTAACCTTTGAACAATATCCTGTGCCAGTTTGTCTCATTAGAAGAGTATGCCATGTTACTGAGGGAGGGGATCACCAGCTCATCCCTAAATCATTTAAAG